TAAGTCTCAAGAATTTGCCACAGAACTGAACGATCACTAAGTACAAGATATAGTAGACTATGTTTAAAGGCGCCGGCATGGTACCGCCTTTGTCGATCCACTCCAGCCACATTCGGGCTCTTGAGAACTTCCACTCCATATCAGCGTTTTCCTAATGGAAAGAATTAACGATACTGTAAGCAGTCATTATGGAATTACACAGATATGTAGCATGTACAAACCAATACGCCTGGTAATTTTTTAAGGGAGACAATTTCCTTAATAAATGTTTTTTTTGAAAGGTCGAAAGCAATGATTTTTATCAATGAAATTTTCGTTCGTTACTGTATTACACGATCCAAGGAACAATGCTGACTGGATCACTAAATAGAGGGTCGTACAGGGGGGTCTCTGTCACGGTTCACGAACGGAAAAAAATAGAGGATAACGGATCACGGATATAAAAATTTCGCTTTCCCTAATCACGAAAATAAGCAAGTGAGATACTCTTTTTAATGACCCGTTCTTACAATAGAAGCAGTGTTTGAAGAAAGTAAAATCGCGAATGGCTGAGTCACGGTTCCATATTGCAAATCGCATACCTAAGTCACTCTCGATAGACGACTCTAACTATTCGGAGGACTTGCGTCTGAAAATCACGTAGAATAGAGTGGTAAAGTCACGAATATCTGTTAATAATTCAGGTTCTTCACGGGTCACGCAAAACCTTCACGTCACAAGTCACGAAGAATAATTTCCTAACTTCACGTTTCACGGAAAATAAAATCAGCTAATCACGTATCACGAGAATACCCCCGTACGACCCTCTAATCTGTACGAACATTAAATGCTGATGGGTTTATTTTGGTATGGACCTCATTATTGAGTCACTCCAACACTGATCCAATAAACTTACCATGATTCTGTCAAAGGAGTTGTTCATCATGGCGACCAGCATGTTTAAAGCAACAATAACGGTGCAGACCATGTAAGCCATCAAGAAAAGGTGGCCAAATGTGGCTATAAGGACAAAATCAGGGTCTTGCACTGATATTTTCTCTTCTTCCACGACACCAAAAAGCATCCAAAACAAACCGATCGACGCATTCACATGACTGAGAAGTAAAAAAACCACAGCAATTGGTAACATTATGAATTATAGCACCTGCTTAACGTCCGACTTTTCCAATCAGAGTCTAAGATGGCCACATTATGTTTCCTTAATATCACATGGTAGATCATAATGATTCAATTATTAGTTCTTAGTCACAAGTTAGCTTACATGCGATGTCGTTTTGTGTTCTTCAGTCAGATATTATTGCATCAGCGTGTCAAAGACTGCGTAAATGCGTTAACGTTAGTTTTAGATGAACAAGCTGCAGGTCTCTAAAAACTCTAGGGTAATAATGGACCCGAAATTTCGGCAAAACTCACATTGTGATTTGCTACTCAGATATACTTTGATTATTAACTGATCGCCATAGATAGCAGATTGAGGGAACAACTGAAGGCATTAGTCACAAGATAACAGCCTATTTTCCAACGCGTCTCAAAGTGTTTTTAGACATAAATTGATTTCAGTTAGGTGGTCACGCTGAAATTGCTGCTACCAGTTTTACTTAAACTTCTGTCGGTCGAATTTGACGTAGCTCTCCCTCTGTCCTCCGCAGAGGCTCCCCCGGGTAGGGGCCCTCAAAAGGCCTCTATGGAAGAGAGAGTGCCGGGTTCTCCCGGAACTGGGGAAATTGTGGTAAACTGGAAGCCTACTTCTTAAGTAACTTCTGCTGGCCATGGTCGTCCATTTAAAACCTAAAGAAACTATTCTACGTTGGAAGTAGAGCTTATCAGCGACTGGTTCTCCTCTAGAGTTAAGGAGAAAAGGCAGCGTGCGTTCTCCCAATAAATCTGCTTTCTTCTACAGTATAGTGTGCAAAAATGAAACTAAGAAAAATATGACATTTAATACAAGACTATAATTTTTTCCTGTGTTATTATACATACTTGGTATAAGGATGGGACTCTTCGAAGTAACTGACGTTCATTTTTTGTAACTTCATCTGTGAGGCGACATAGTAGGAGTATACCTTAACCACGCCAGTGACGAACGAAATATACAGCACCAGAAAGATGAAAAGGAATCTACGTACATCTTTAAGCATTTTGTACAATGACAGCTGCAGAGGGCCCAGAACTGAGTCGACTTGAAAGATGTGTGTCAAATGGAAGTACGCAACTACAGTGGCGCTTGCGTATAAGACATCTGCTACGATAAATGACGATTCCCTTGGCATCCAGTTCCTATGATAGTAAGTCCACGCAAGAAGCCATACGGCATATG